AGCAGCTTAGTATGTAGACTACTATTTTGCGTGCCTTTCTTATCTTCTCGGACTTAATGGTATGAGTAACTTATCATGAATGCAAGTCATGTTACCTGTCTTCAAGTTATTTACAGCGCCTCTAGTTGATGTTCTACTAACATAAGTAACACAACGCTGACGCAAATTACATAACTACTACCTCGCCGCACTAATATATTTATGATTAGATATTATGTCGTAATTAAAGACAGAGGCAATTGAGCATTAGGCAGCATAACGCAAAGTAAATATATTCATTTCCTTAGTTCGAAAACTTTTATGCTACTTTAAGCCTACTGGATTCTTCGTTTGCACATTCGTGATCACTATGTCGAGCATTACTAATTGTATAGTCGCGCATTAGTAATCGCCCCTCCGCGCATTACTTATCATCTGAAATTACTGTTCGGTTCCCACTCTTTGGCCGAGGCGCTTCTTCGACAACAGTGATGGCGAAAAGATTCTCCTGTGTTGCGCTACAGGCATGATGTCCACCCCCTCGAGATTGTGCTCGCACGTCTTATTTGGTGGGCAGTGATCAACCTTTTCATATTTTAGATCTAGTGCGTATAACGTAAATACTGCTTTACAAAAGCACATTTTAAAGAAACATGGCGAATCCTATAAACCGTCCATCTTCATTAGCATCAACTGTCTCTCTTTAAAAACCACAAAAAACTACTGCAAATTCAACAAAAACCCCTTTTAAATGAAATGAGAAAGGTGGACTTGTACACATTTTAGCTTTAACGAGGAACATTTTTCAACCACCAAGTCAAATACCATCCCGCTGATTAATGTGTGACACACCAAAGGAATTAGAATCCCGGTTATACAAGGGTGTAAGAAATAACAACCTTAACTTGCTATTTACAGGAACTTACGCCGCAACCGGAATCCGGTGCAAAGTATACTAACGAGATTCATCAGCAAGTAAATATACGCAACTGCACACGCATTGGTTGAGCACAGCTCTCGACGCCTTGGCATACCACCGGTGATTTCACTACCAAATTTAGTATGGTGATATCGAGACAAACTCAATCAGAAGATGTTTAAGTGCCGTATTATGTGCATCATTTAAGCATGGATATTGAAGCCATGGCGCTAAAACAACTGTGATTACAGCATTCAGTTTAGCGAGATCACAACGAGTATCACTTAAATGATTATGTGCCGTATGCTATCAGTTGCTGAGATCTGCTCCAGAAGAATTTCATTGGCATCATCAGAATGAAAATCTCTGACATTAAATGTCCAGCACACTTGCCGATCCAACTAGTGGCTTGCGCCAAAATCAATTTCGTTTAAGCAGAAATGGACTCATGAATTGTTTTAGCTCTGCTAGAAAATTGCGCGTTGCATCAACAGTTTTAGATATCCGATTATTCCAGCGCTCGAAAGGTTTGAGCCATTCATACCTATTGTACTTTTACAGCTTAAAACTAAATCCAAGACAAGACAACATTCGAGCTGCTAAAGTCTTATAAGTTCACTTCTAAGATCAATAAAGCTTAAGGTCTGATTACTACAGCATCATGCTCCAGCCGCAAGACGGACCGTGATGAAATTACTTATGGAGCTATTGTCGTCTCAGCAAAATGTTGGTTTTATTAAATAGATCGACTTCAGACACAGTATGTAAAGGGATAAAACGTTGTGGAGTACTCGGTACTTTGCGTCTTCGACACACGGGATGGTATCCCACTGAAAGAGATATAGAACATCTTATTGGTGAATAAAAGAATACGGATGTCAGCCACAAGATAGAAATATCTAAAAGATAATCATGCAGGACATGAGTGCAAAAATTAGGCAACATTAAAATCAAGATTTTCTACAAAGCTCAACGTAAATTAAGCTCATCTCTTGTTTTGATCTTTCTTAAAACACGTGCCTTGCGGGGCGTCTCTATTCGGTGATCTCTAACAGTAGCAACATCTTCCTGAGGTAGCTACTCTTGAGCACTAAGTTCTGTAAAATTACTGAATCGTTCGGTCCCCTAAAGCAGTAGCCTTAAGCCTTACGCTCATTGGCTCATAGAGCCTATTCATATATAACTAATTTGCTTTCTTAGAACAATGAGTCTTTCTCCGACTTAGGGAGCTGTATAGATCCGCTACACAATAGGCCGATGCTTGAGTGGCCTATCAAAGCCTACAATAGCTGCTTTTAAAAAAACACCTGTCTGTAATGACACGAAGATCCGTCGTAACCCCTGCGGAGCACATTGTAGCTAAATAAAAAATTCATCTTCCTCCTAGACTTTACAAATCCTAGTACATTTTGAGTAGGGGTCCCAGCGCCTACTAAGATTCGACATATTGTGCGCCGTACAAACTTCCATGTTGGCGTTAGATTGCGACTCGGACGATCTTGATGAGGCCTTCGCAGCGGACGACGATGGCGGGGTTGTTTTAAACTTCCACAGCATGTAGATCTGCGTCTTTACCTTCATCGTATCTACGACCCACGGTTTGGCCTGTGAAGTTTAATCGAATGAGTCTATGGGTACCAAACGTTCTTATCTGAAGTTAAGCTCGGCACTCAAAACAGTGCTCAATGCGATAGGGTCGACGCGAAAAACGTCCTTCCGAGGAACCATAGGTGAAGAGCTGTTCCATGTCGATGGTCACTTGGACTTCGTCCGGAAGAGGTTCTACTGCATAACTGCAAGGAGTTTTTAAGCTTCTGTATTTAATCAGTTATTTCTTACCTTTCCTATTGAATATCTAGGCGTGAGTGCACATGCCTTTCATGGATAGGCGATGCATACACTCTTTACATTATTCTTGTAAAACAGTTTCTACCTGGTAAACTTCATCACTTCAGAGGCATCGCACATTAATGCCCGTTCGTTAGCCTTTCCGCCTAGTTTAATGTTAAGTATACCAGATGTTTGTTCTGACTGGATCACCGCGGCTCTCATCGCTGTCGTTAAGCTTTACAATTCCAGAGAAGGAGGTTCTCTTCTCCTTTAATTCGAAACCATTCACGCTCACAACAAGCGGACCAGTCTTGTAACGGGGTAGCCACTTATATATTATTACAACAAATGGTGTCGATTGGGATATTGTTTAGCATGACAATATCCTATCAATATTTTCCAAGATGGATATTGTTGGAGGAATATTATCCCCTTTAGATAATATTCATGCGCTGCTCCAATATTGGTTGATAAAAGACATATCAACTATAGATTAACAACAATCGCTCCTAGACGCGCGCAATGAGTGGTGAGCAGGTTGTCGTCATACGACGACGTAGTTTAATATAGTTAGATAAAGATTTAAGTTATATTGATAGCTTAACCATATTAAATACAGTTCACTTTTTCCCTTTACTCACCATATTAAATACAGTTCTCTTTTTTCCTTTACTCAGCTTAGTTGCTGAGTAGATTAGCTTCCTCTGTTCGTACTAGTGTACGTGAAGCTTCGTGGCACCCTTAACAAAGGGCGACCCGTTACAAGTCATGTGATCGTCGTCAGCTATATGTACACGGCGGGACAGCATTTACGATGCCACGTGGTCATGAACCTGACCAAACAAGGTGGCTTCAAAGATTAAAGAGTCATCTAGACGTGCAATTGGCACTTCCGGCTCTTGCCCTATGATAAGGTTCTAGTCTCCGGCACCTATTAAAACAATGAGCCGTTTAAGAGCTTAGCGCCGAACCTACGTGAGGTATGATAGTTTCCTCATTTTAAAGAAGGTCAGTACAATAGACTCAGGCGTAGAACTGGATACTTGTACTACCAACCGAAGCCGGGCTACATAGCCCTTGATCGAAGTAAGACTTTGGCTTTCAATAATGATTTATTGAAAGCCAAAGTCTTACTTTGATCACTTTATTCATCCACTTAAGAGTAGGAGATACTCTACAGTCAAAAGATTGGCTTGACGAGCAGACAGGAACCACATGCCCAAGGTGCTCTGATTAACAAATCTCAAGATATCATCTCTAGCTACACTTTAACGATGAACTTAAACTTTATTTATGATTTATCAACGGTAGCAACCCTTTCCCGAGCAATTCACACCTCTGTTAATTGTACTACCGTGATAATGTTATAATGACGGACACTTTCATGAATGACTCGTCAGCCATTTTTCATTCAATAACGTCGTACTTAGTACTTCTCTATCAGCTTTAGAACCATGACCGACAAGGTACGATACGATAAGGTACCGATTTCACTTTTTACGGGTCCCACCCAGACTTCTATAAGGGCATAAAATCAACTTAAGATGAATGGACTGTGACCCTTACAACAGACATCTTCTCTCATCTAACCTAATGGTGGGATGTGCACGACCATGATGCAGCGAGCATGATGTCTTTTATTGATTCTACGTACAAAATTAACGCGTACAAGATGCCTTAAACGCACGGGCCCTGGGCTGTGACTCACTCTTTACGATCCTCCAGTTTACTTCGCCCAACATCATGTCATAATCTTTGTATCAAAATGTATTTTATTATTTCTACAACTTATCTATTTCCTTTCTATTCAACCGTAATACAAATGAATGAGCTGTGTGTCAAAGTATGTCAGGCTACAACTCGTTTATTTCGCGAGTTACTTGTTTTTGTAGGATCCTCCTTTAGATATCAGCTGTGTGCAGGACGACCTCAAGCGGAAAACATTGACCATCAACCACTATGCTTATACCACAAAAGCGTTGCGAATTACGGAAGCCCATCAGAAGACGTTTCTTGAATGCTGCGCCCATCTTGCACCATTTGCAACATGGTTGCACATTATTCGTATTAATTCGCAAAACATGCATGTACTTTGCGATAGGAAAATTTCTTTGTATTGTCATGGGACGAGTCGCTATCGCAGACTCCTGCATGGTGATGTCACAAGTATCTTCTGATGTCTCCACAACAATCAGCCAAGGCTAAGTAGAAAACTAGCAAATGTCAAATACGACTCTGTAAAAAACATTGTAGGTCTTCAGCGACGAGAACTTCAGGAGCACTTGCGATGCTGTACGAGGTCATGGACATAGTCTTCTTCGCACTGCTGTGTGAGCATGGGGAGGTCACTGATCATTTGCTGTTTTAGAGCGGGAACGGACCGGACGCCACAATCGCGAGCAGCCACCGCCCTGAGGCACTGCAGTGAGCAGCCGACTAAACGAGCCTTAATAGATCTTGTGTACATTGGTCGCACCAGGTATCCTTGGCACTCGGTGACCGACACTTGCGGTGCGTGGTACTCGCCAAATTGTCGAAGCTCTTTGCGGGCCACACAGATCTGCAGTCCGTCGTCTAGGAAGCACTCGATCCATACCTTATCACGAATGCGACTAGGGTCACCATATAGCTGCTTTGTCGAGTAAACAACACGGCAAATATGGTTGACAGTGTAAAGCACTGTCCCCCTCTCATCGTCGTTCCTGAGCCCATTGGCAGCCATTGTGCTAGCATTCCAGATCCGGCGAGCCAACGGTCGCATTTTAACAGCGTCGAGAGCCTTAGCACTTTTCCAGACGACACGGCTGGCTGATTCTTCATCCTCTTCTTCTTGACAAAGCAAATGTCGCCAACCAAGGACTTGACGTACTTTGCAGCGTTGCCGTAGTCGGCTCCGACTAGCGTTACCATTCAAATGACGCAGTTCGCTGGGTAGAACTCGCATTGCATGTAGCACGTGCTGGGTATCATGGCTCGACAAGCCTGGTAGCGCGTACTGCAAAGACCGGGGTGAGCCAACCACCATCTTTACATCCTTCTGGTCGGTTTCGCAACGACGTGACACGTCACTATGACTGAAAGATATTCGTTGGCGTTTTACGTGCCGACTCGGCGACACAATCACGCTGCATGCACGTTTAAGCGACATATGATGGACTTTCTCATCTGAGACGTTCCGCTGGCAGCGCTTGCTGCTCTCTGCTAACCAGCATACACTTATCCTCTTGTCCACGCAAGTTCGTAGCGACAGCAGTGGACACGTCATGACTGCGAGTCTGTGTATACAAGTCAAAAATATCCAAACAAGGTTTGTGAGTATCGAAAAAGAATCACTATGCTACATCATGTTTTGAAAGACTCGCATCATTGAGGGAAAAAGTTCTTGTGGTGAACGCACCTTGCGGTAGCGACCGTTGGCTGCAGTTCGTGGCTCCAGCACTCCATAGCGTTTCTGGACGTCAATTCGAGTGGTGTCTTTTTCTGCATGGCCTCGTGGTGGTCAAAGGACTGAAATGCAACGCCCATACTGTCACAGCACTACGGTAGAATGGGCCGGTGCACAAAACGGCTGGATAGAGATCTCGTGGTCGCGATGCAAAAGGGCTAATGCGTCCATTGATGGCGGGCCTGAAGCCTTATGATCATCGGGACAAGTCCATCTCCCTATCAAGATCCCACTTTTTTCATAGAAAGGCATTCCACAGAGATTTCGGAAGCTTTGCATCGAGCAGTGGTGCACGAAAATCGGACATCAGAGCCAAGCCTGGACAGAATTAATGGCTTCGAACCAGATGATTTGACCAAGTCATACCTAATGCCAGGCTCTGCGCCTTGCGCTTGTCGTCATTCAAGCAGTCGAGCAAGCAGCTGATACTCTTTTTTCTGAGGACTTGCAGCTGCAACATCCGGACTGCACGACTGGCATCCGATCGATCCGTTGCTCCAAATTTAGGATACATTCGAACAGCTGCATTGGTCTGAACGCGACGTCATTGTAGGAATGAACACCCTTGCTCTGAAGAATTGAATCGCCAGCGCAGTTCGCTGTACTTCTAGATGACATTATGGAGCGGCAATGACCAGATAAGGATTCTGGTTGAGACCAAACTCAGCGTTATGTGTCATGATCATTCCACAGTCAGCAGGCGCAACCTCCTGTATGGTCTAGCTCTCATGTGGGACGTATCGACAACCATGTTCGTTGCCGCAAAACTTGTTGGCCATACCTAACGATTGGCACTAGTACCACAACCAGACGTTTTTACCGTCATAAGGTTAGCGTACGCTTCGTGCCGGACAAAACCAAAGTTGTCGTAAGCCTCTAAATAAGCGAACGACACGTTCGAGGGAAAATCATGCTGAGTCGTGAACCCGAAGCTGCTGGACTAGAGCGACCTTCCCCCACACCCATATATATGCGTATTGCTTTAGCTATGACATCTGCAAAGATAATAAATACCTAATACCACGTACGACTCGATGTACATGTGAGGGCGCAAAGTGGCGGCGTCAGTGCAAGTATTGTGATTCGCAAAATATCAAGAGCTGTGATTAAATGAATGGAGAGGATCAGACGGACTACCAAGCGTTCACACAAAACGCTAGTGCACCCACGACCTGTCTTTACACCTATCCTGAGTCGCCCGGATGAAAAATCTTAGATTCTGTAAAAAGGCTTTGGTCGTCGAAAGCAACTGGTCTAAACGTGCGAATGGAGTATCCCATTCCAGAGAATTAGCGATCGATGTCTTTTGCAGCTACGCGACGTCACAAAGCTACATGAGGCAAGAAAAGATAGCATTTATCGATGGGCTTATGCATTAGCCGCGCAGGAGAGTGCAGAAACCACGTGGGGATAAGTCGTCGGTCACTTTTCGTCGATAAAGAGGTAGAAGCGGGTCAGGTCACACCTACCTTTTTTGTGCAGTGCATGCCCTGAACCCGAACGAGATTGCATTATTTTGTCATGATAAGGGTTTGATATGAGCTGTGGCGTGACAAGGCGAACACACCCTTCACGGTAGTCGATGATGTGAGGTCTACATGATCCAGTGAGCCTGCTTCGAATGATTCCGTCTTGTAAGATAATCTTTTTTCTTTCTCATCATTCCAGCCATAGCCCAATTTGCTGCTGCCCCATGCTCCAGAATGAGCTTCACCCGTACCCTTGGTCACCTAATGCCTGCACCTGATCTTAAGATTATATATTTGTGCAGGTTACTGGAAAGCGAGGCATCGAAAATGTGACAACCTTATGTGCTCGGCTTACAATTAGAATTTCTTGTAATTCACGTGCGCTGCTTAAAAGCCATCTCACGCAATTTAATATCAAACAAGGTGGGGGGAGAGAGCTCTCCCTTTGATGTATGTAATTCCCTTCAAGGAACTGAATTAAGTTCTGCATATTCACGTACCATATCTAGTAGTAGCGGCTAAGAAATGGGTTGCGGGTTGTGCACTGAATATTAAAGTGCGGATAAATCTTTGTGTGTTTAAAGTACTTGTTCATGTTGTTGTGATATGTGAAAGAGACGAATGTTAGAAAAGGTAGACAAAGTGCGATCTCGGTAACGCCGTCAATCACAAAATGCTGTCGACGACATTTCATTTATCCACAATAAAGAGAAAGTAGGTAGAAGGAGCTTTCATAACGAATGAGAAAAGAATGTGACAATCACCTCTTACTACTTCGAGCTTTTTCGATCAAAACCACCTACTCTTTGCGAAATGTGCGAGAATATTGCTGCCCCTTAGTGTCCAGCATTTGCTTATTCGCTCTCTGTCCTCCCTTTATCACTTTATAGCCAATTATGTGCGAGTGTGAATATTACACACTTCGAAGTTGCACTTAGTACAACGCGTAAGGTACACCCAGCGTTATTTACACACACGGACACATAGACACATAGCTAAAAGAGATTGAAAGGTTTGACATTAAACTTGCGCACACTGACTATTAGATTGACCCTTCGGGCCCACAATTAGGCCACTTTTTCTATGGAGGAGAACGATGAATTATGTAGATGGCTTAGGCTTCGCAAAGCAATGGTTGTAGCAGATATGTTGCATCCGACAAGACGTCGAAAACGTTCGCGTCAGATAAATCATGAGATCTTGGTTGCACAGTAATAATAACATTTTTATATGCATTAGTTTTAGATCATTCCCTGGTAATGGCATGTTGTTGTCGTAGCGAGCACGGGTGAAGGTTTCCAACAATGCATCGGTTTGTTCACGCTTCTTGTATTCAACTTTTCCATTGTTTTAACGTCCAGAAGTGTACATTGTTGGAGGCGCTCAGCGATTTCAATGTTGCAGAAAGCAACCGCTATCTGTATTGTAGCCCGATGATCGCAATGCCTGTAGTAAATAGGGATGACATTTTACTTGGACGTAACTCTTCTCTTTTTTATAGTTAAATGTATCTCATGCCGAACATTGAAATGTATGAGATGAGGGCTAAACACTATTAGGCTGTGGATGTCGTGAATTCGGCTTCAAGTCGTCACATTAGGTTTAACATTTTTACCCGTGCGAATACAGCGTCGACACTAATTCAATGCCGAAGAAGTACATAACATCAGTTCCGCCATAACATATCATCCGCTGCTATCGAATGATTATACGGTATCACTTTGCAGAATTTACTGAAGTTCGTATTAATAATTCCTCCTTGAATGTCAAGCCTTGACCAGCTGCGATACAGAATTAGACACGTTGCAAGCTTACAGGAATTTACTGCACTGCGCTCGGGAGATTGCAGAAATTCATTACACGAAGGCGACCTGAGCTCTTATCGATTGACTGCTACCCTCTATCCCACAATTTGCTTACGGCATAGTGTTGCCGTGTAAAATAAATAGGAGGTCTTGAATTTTAACATCGTGCTTCAATAAACGCTGTAAAGCAGAGGACTTGGCTGCCATGTACATCAAAATGTAGGTTTCTGCTAGGTCCTCGTTAATATGTCTAACCTTCTTGAGATGTACCCATCGTCTTGCGGCTCGATCGTGAAGTCAAAGACAAAAGACTAATGACTGACAAAGTGTCATCAGTTTCACCTGCTAATCCGATTATACTCTCTTTGTAGGGGGTATCTCTTCGTCGTGCTGGAGCGGTAATAGCCGGACACAATCTGTTCGCGCAACTTTCCAAGCCCATGGTTTTTACTCGCCCACTTTACGTCGGACCTTATCAGTTTTTTTACATCCCCTGCTTTTGTGAAACTCCCACGTACGTGCAATGCTGATATGGGTTTGGAATGAATGGAATGTTTGGCTCATCAATTTCGTTTTACATATAGCAAACAATACCATTATCTTGCAACACTACTTCTTACTGGTCGCATATGAGCAATAAGTGAGCGTGCTACTATGATAAGTTATCTACTCGTATGTTGCAATTCACCACTTCTCGATCTTAGACTGCTGACCAGTTATTTTATGCTAGAGAAAGGTTCATATTGTATGTTTATGCAATATTACTGTGTACAAGATCTCTAGTCGTCCTTGTAGGCGAAAGATGCGCGCCAGTTTTTCGTGGCCGACCATGACCGGTCCAGAGGCAGGGAGAGACCTAATGGGTTTTGACACTCAATTTGAGGCAAGCACTAAAGATTAATACACATAGGGCTGTCTCGCTCTAACAGTGTCACGATTCTCGACCGAGCTGTCGGAAACATTCCTTCCGCTGTTGCTCTGTACTACTATGACTGCATTAACCGCTGACAACCCACCTCTTTTTTTTCTATCCACATCGAGTGTGGCAGACCATTATGGTGATGCGCCATAAAACTCCTTGTTTCCTTCTCGATTGCGATGCATCATCTTCGAACCTGTTCGCGATGGCCCTGTGACGGTATAGAAGAATCCTAGTAACCTTTCGTCTCGTGCATACTGCAAAAGAGTATTGCTTTCGCAGGCATGTCTTCATTAGTTGTTCCTGTGGCTTACGACAAACATAGATTCTTTACATTTACAATCCCAAATCTGTACTGCTTTGTCTCTGATTTTGGTAATGAAATATTCGATCTCGAACCTGTAGCGTTACGGAGATCGATCATTTTATTTTATCTCGGAAAGGTAGCATTTGATCCGGGCGGGAAATGTAACCATGGTCTTGATGTGATCAAACGATCCCTAAACTCTACGTTCTTGACATCGTCGGCTTCTTTATCATCTCCCAGTCTGAACGGATAATCAGCTAATCGATTGGCATTAAAACTCAAAACATTCTCGGACTTTCTTCATTCCCGTTCACTACATATGCTATTTACGATCGTAAATAGACGTTACTTTCACTAGCTTGTTCCTGACCGCAGACTAGATAGGTGGGACTTAGAAGTGACCTAGTTGTAGCCTTAGCTCATCTTCGTCACTCTTAGGGACCCTAAATTCACATCGAGGGATATCTCCAATATCAAATTGATGGGTCAGACTGCATCGCTTTTATTTTCGTTAACGAGTCTCTATCAACATTGCCACATATACAGCATCTAGTGGGAAGTCGTTCAACCAGGTTAGTAATATACTTTGAAGAGCTATCTGTTCATGGAATATTTCCATGTGGAAACACAGGCTACACCTAAAAAGATCTCTAAAGTTTATAATCAGCGTTCGTAAACGTGTAGAAACTACTAGTGGCTTCAATGCATTGTAGTAGGCAGAACGTAGATAGAAGTAATGGGTCATTTTCACCTGTTGGTTGACAAGCCACTACAGAGGCCCTAGTGGAGGCCGAAACGTGTCTGGCACGCGTTTACATAAAAATCATTGCTTTTACTTAACTTATACTTTCCACCAGTTATTGTCAGCACCTCCAACACCATAATCGTGATCGATATCCACGGCCACAAATGATCTACAAGTTGCGTGCGGCAGGTGAAGCCTACATTATAGACGGAAATTATTCAGTCTGGCCTATTGTGCTTTACTTGAACGATACCGAAGCAGAGCAGAACAAGATCTCGCTCTATCAAGAACGTACCCAAGGTAATTACTCGAATCGAAGGCAACTAGAATTACATTTCAAGATCAACCCTCGAATCTTGGGTACACTCTGGACACATAATCAATCTAAAGCACCAGGCCGTCGATGTTAAAAACACAGACCCGCTATACTAGAAGTGTAGGTGTTGTGCAAACTATACTCATCCGTGGATAAAACAGAAAGTGTCTGAGGCTGGTACAAGCGAGAAGTCATCATTTAAAATGACGGTAATAACATACAGAATCACATAACAGACCTAGATAAAGCAGATCAGTGAAGTGGACGGCAAATTACCTGGCGTTAGTAGCTACTGAGACGACTACAAACATAAGAACTGCACCATAATTTGCGTTAGAAAAACGTTGATATCGCGCCATGCAATTGAGAGAAGTGACACGTGAGGAAGGATATGTCAATTTACGACATCGGGCACATCAAGGCCTTCTTAATCTTCAGGGAATCATGAGGTGTCATTTCCCGAAGCTACCTGAATAATTCGTTGCCCGAAAAATTAGGATGGAAGAGCAGAAGTAATTTACTCTGTTCTGGATTGCTCGCCATTTATTCCCTTAATTAAAATAAAAAGATGTCTGCTGTACGACGTACATTTAGGAATGGAAAATGCAGCGAAACAAGCGTCAAGTATAAGTACTGTGCGATATTGCTGGTCAGTATAGAAATTTTGTAGAATGCAAGACTCGATGACCTTGGTGGCTGTAGTACAAACTAATCGGTTTAACAAAATAAAGATTCGTTACCCATATAATCGAATTTAATTAAATGAGACGCACCTCGCTACCAGCTGAGGGCAGAATAGTGGGTTGTGCAACTGATTTATAACTTGTCGAGAAATAGAGATCGATAACTTCGTGGAGGGGATAGCGCTTTCGATTTATCATGCGCCGCTTGCAACACAAAGACCAATTTGCCCAAACTAAGCGTGTGACATACTCATTGATTAGATTTCGCTCTTGCAATGCTCGTACACGTGTGACTGCGATTATACAGCTTAAAGACCTCAACTAAAAACTTTGATATCCTGAGAAACACTTGTAACGATTGGCAACAACGAAATTTGCTAGTACTCTTTATCATAGTACGATGAAGTCGCACAGTGTAAATATTGAAATACCGAGAACTTCGCAAATTTGACTTGCCGAGATGCAGCGGAGCGTAACGATTCACCACCATACACTTTGTTGATTGGAAAGTTCTTAATGCTTTAGATCGGCCTACGATTCTTTGCCTTTGTGGATATAAAAAGAAAATATTACACGATTTGGTGGTATCTAGCCTGGCTTAGCTGATTGCGCTTACGCATTTCGCAGTCATGGAATATACATTTACACCTTACCATCTGCTGCTCTTGGAGCATTTTAGAAGGATGGGTCTCGTCTGCGCTTGTCGGTCGTCAAATGCATCAATTGCGATGCCGGGGATAGCACGTAAATATTTAAAAAGGTAAATAAAAATCCGAAGCGTACGAGGGTATGTTTAGTTTATCCCCATAATGAAATTGGTTGAAATAGTTTACATTTTAGTCGTCTCTGTGTGTGAAGCTACAGCTCCAAGTGTTTAAAAATTATCGAGAAGATTGTTAGTGTAGATGATTTATTAGGATTTGTGAATTGGCAAACTGTAACGATGCAATTTCTGACGAAATCGAAGAGAAAGAAATTTAACAAGTGCCGACTGACGATGGTATTGAGTGATAAACAAATTGTCCTGCCCAACCTACGCGAAAAGTAGCTATAGATAGCTAATTTTGAGGATATGCTCGAAACTTAGGGACAGCTTGTGTCCATCGCACAAACGGAAAGTCTTTGATGATCGCTGCTTATAGCAGACATGTAGGGTTCTATTTTTCTGATATTGCAGTGATCTAAGCATCACAATGGGTGCTTGTCCAGCAAGATAATGAATGGACGAGTTAAGAGTAATAGCTCTCTGGATACGACAATCATATCCTCGTTAATTCGAATGCGTCCTACCCGCAGCTTGAATAAGATTTGACCTGGCATGTTTTAACCATATTGATCACATGATAACCATGATACTTTGTAGACACGGCTTGTAGATTTTCTGGTTTAAAGCAACAAACGTCAATCATAATAAGGGCAGCATTAAACACCAAACCGATTCATCACTTGGTTACAGTGGCAGTCAACAAACAAGCCCCAGTAAACTGAATGTTAGTTGCTTTGGACAGATACCAGCAGTAAGGCACAACTGAAATGAGTGTATTGTATTTCAACGATTGGTGAAATTGATTTGAGTGATGGAAGTTTTCAAGTTGTGAGCCAAATTTTTGCTTCATTCAGGACTGGGCGTACACGATCGACAGTGACATAAGCAATCGAAATGGAGATATGTGATGTCAATTGTGAGGGTCTATAAACATATATCAACAAAGATGATTTGCGCTCTAAGGCAAATGCACGCGAAAAGTAATGTCATCAACGTACTGAATTGATACATTCAAGCGGGAACCGCACATGGTGTTTATTGATATATTATCGCTTACTGAACGATATAATGGTCGAGGAATCAGTAACAAAAGATTTTTGTAAGCATTTGCAACTGCTCCGAACATGATAACTTGATCACTCACGAGAAGGTTTTTTAGTTTGCAAAGTGTGCACGTAAGAGGCAAAGGATACACCAATAACACCAGCTTGGCACCAATCAAAAACGGTTTTCTTCATTCATGCTGCATAAGCTGTAGCTATTCAAGTGTGCAGTGCCGCTGAACCAGGATTATGTCGTAGTTGCCTGGAGATTATTTACAGCTCTTTCATACAATCTAAACACAGCGGCTTCCGGGCTTTCATTCCCGTTCTTGTCATACAATTTTTTGTAATCGTCCAGACGGTAAATGCGGTGCAGTTTTTCCACAGTCATTCGCTTCTTCGCCATTAGATTCTTAACGGCTGTAGCTTTGTCCGTTCTACTCGCTTGTAGTGTAGCATACAGACTCAGATCCAAGTCTTCCAAAACCCCGCTTAGCTTTCCAAAGAGTCTCCCCGAGACCCCTCGTTCTTCCTCTGGCCCGAATGTCGTGCTGATCGATGTGTTCGGTATGAGCTCTTTCATGCGGACGTCGTTCTCTTCCCCAGCAACAGCTACTCGTCGGAGGTTCCGAGGCGACTTGTTTGCTACAGCACCACTGTTCGCAAACAAAGTGAGCACACCAAAGGCGAGAATTACCGTAGCTCGCATGATGAATAACCCAGGCTTGGGTGGATGCTAGCGCTTTTTGCGGAAGAGGGGGGAGTATCGAAGTGTGAGGGAGGCACTTTTGACAAATGACGACCACGCACGTGTGTTGTAAAGGCACGTACTGGAGAGTAACAGCTGTATTAGTATCGGGTGATGTGAAGGGGTTACACATCAAAGAATACTCGGGGGGAGCCCTAAACACCAACAAAATGTTAAGGCTATCCAATCAACTTAAATAAAGTAAAGTAATTTATGCTGAGAGAACATACAATATTGAACAAGAGAACGTCCTTTAGACTGAATATCTGATGAAGTTTTATCATTCGAATTTATCGCACTTAGCAATAACACGAGCTTCTGTTGTGCAGCAGAGAAACAAGATTACACGGCGCTTATGGATCCGGTTATGTTGTGTATCCACCCCAAATAAAGATCGATGGATCTGACTGGTACAGTTTCGGTATCATGTACTTTCGGTAACACCGCACCTTAATGTTCAGGGATAAGGGAAAAGACTTCTGTCATAGGATCGTAATTAGAGCCAGTTCTGCAGGTGTTTTACAACATTAGGCTTAATGAGTAAAAACCCTGCTATGTAGGATTCAAACAAGGTTGTATAGCTTTGCTACCGTAGTTAAAGAAAAAATAAAGTTCAGCTCCCTCTTTGAATCGTTGAACACAAGTGCTTAGTAAAGTCGTAGTGTGTTGTTAAGAGCATATGCCTCGTCAAGTCGCTTACTCTGTTTAACTAGTAGTGACTAGTTAGTGTGTAATTCTGTGAATCTTAATACCTTAAGAACCAGCAATGTTAAGCTTGTGCGCTTGAACGACTGTACGTCGCTGTAAGTCTAAATTAACTAAGACTCTTTGAGTCTACGATATCCTCTGTTGAGGAGCGCTAAGCAGCTCTGCCGCATACGGTGTATACTTTAAAGTATTCTCCACCGATTTCCTAGGAAGATGAAGCTGATATTGTGGCGTTGGAGATGGGACTGGAACAGATGTACGCAAAATCGTCGATTGCAGATCAGTTGGAGTGGTAACATCAATGCGTGACTGTGTACCTTGAGCTGGAATGTATTGACGTGAAATGGTTTTGTGTTGCACAGGATGAGCCAAAAGCTTTTATAAGGACACTTGTCTTTGTCAAGTGCTTCAGTACAAAGTATTCAAATTACAGACAGATACAACACGTAGCTACTTGGATGCTGATAAAAACTACATAAGCACACATAACCGTGGAGAATCTTCAGACTGATGCTTCTGGACGATTATGGCCTCCATATCGTCGTCTTCCTTTGAAATGAGCCTCGCCTTGGTAGTGCCGACATCATTTTCTTGGTAATGCATCAACAATGGCCAATGTAAAACATATGTAAATATTCCGTCGACCATGCTCTATCTTCGGGTAGCTTTTTGTCAAAGGTGATAGCGAGAACATACGAACAGCCAACATTTTTTGTTCCAAGGTCATGCGAAGAAATGCGCCTTCTATAAAATCCACGACACTCGTTTCCTTGCGAGTAACTGAGGTGAACGCGCTTGATGGCGCGCGATCTTGTGCGAGAAATGCCGACAGCATGACCTTGGCTTACGAAGAACTGCTTGACGGTCAGGACAGCATGCTCTTGACTTCGGATGGGTCCGACTGAGAGGGGGTCTCTACACCTCTAAAATGGACGGGAAGTACAGGGTTCAGCATTAATAGCTATGCTTTCATCAGTGTTTCCAGCGTCATTAACGACAGCATGACGACTAGTAGACAGGAGTAACTGAAGGTATAACCTCGTGAGCTGCACCACCAGATGTGTACATGCGATCGATCGTCGCCTTGTAGATGTTTAAGTAATGGAAATAAAGATAGACCTGTCCGTAGTTATTTATCGAAGGTTCTCCTGTTCGATAGTGTATGTTTTCTCAGCATCAATTACCATACATAATTTAAGTATAATGGATAGCGTATAAATCATGTAGGTGTATACGGCCATAATTGTTCATGTTTAAAGTTGCTGAAGTGCCTGGTTTCCTGTGTCTTAGACACACGGGCTGGTATCCCACTTAAAGAGATATATAATATTGTATCGATTTATAGGGGCTGACGGGTATCAGCCACAAGATATGAAGTATCACAAAAATATTCATTCAGTACATGAGTGCATTGTTTAGGTGAGAGTAATATTGAGATATTCTATAAAGTTAAACGCAAGTAAAGTTCAGTCCCTTTGTTAATCTTGTCTACGACACGTGCCTTGCGAGACGTCTCTGGTCATTGATCACTAACAGTTATCAACTCCTCCCTGGGGTATCTACTCTTGAGCACTAGGTGCTGTAGATTCACTGAATTGTTCGGTCTCCTGGATCAGGGACCTTACGCTTTACGCTTGTTGAATCATAGAATCTAGCTCTTTAAAAATAACATCGATCTTTAAGCAATGATTCTTCCTCTGACTTAAGAAGCTGTGTTGCTCCCCTAAATCTGCACGGTGAAAACTTATCCCGATATCGGCCGCTTCATTTTTAGACGTATGAAACCGATTTAATACTCCTGGCATTCTCATTGTGCTGGATCAAGACGTCGATCGTTACAATGGGTCACTTCCAAAAGGTTTGCGGAAACTTGATTAGCACTCGATTGATGCATCCTTTGCAAATCTAGGATTAGTCACAAAACTAGGACCAATTATAAATATAAAGAGGATACTACAACGTGCACTATAAAACTACGTGATTGGTTCCGGATCTATTTTTATTAGCAAGCTATGGAATCGAACTGGTTAAAGACCCTTTCAATTCTCACTTGGCGCTCACGAGCGCCTACTGGCGGAGACGGAGTACTGCCTCGATTATAATCTTTGTACAAACTTATCTAAATATCTGTTGAAGGGAAAAAAATCGACTAATATTTATCTTGGGTGTTTCTTAGAGAGATAATATCGCATGTGACTTGACTGCAACTCACACTTCCTCAAAGGAGGACGGAAAAACTTGCGACAACTCCGCGTCCACTTTAATCTATAACGTTTAAGAGTCGCTCCTCCAGCTATTCCGCTCTCTGCGTTTATGACTTTGACTATTTTTAGGGACGTGTGAACCCCGGCATGATCTAGTCTTGTTCGTTTTGCGCAACACAAAATAGAAACAGCACCAGGCCCGGATTCGCATTTGCCAAGTCGTGCGTTTTTGCGGCAGCGATCCGTCCTTTCCAATTCATAATGAAGAGGTAAACAAGTGAACGTACGGAATACAGTTAAGTATCCTGGTTTCGGTACGACTTGAGTTATAATTAAACTAAAAAATGGGTGTACACTGAATCCTAAATTCAAATTGCTTAGGCCAGTGACGACACAGCCATTCGGTCGCGAGTACGCATGAGGTTTCACGTGTCAAGAAGATCGGAGTTCACACCCGTATAGAACTGGCCTCTGGTATGCCTTGAACTGTGAATTTTCTGAGTGGGTGTGCAGGCTAAAAAGTGCTTTGTCATGATTGATAACTCCAGCCATGACATTGGCATATTACCAATTACGCATTTTTCAATCGCTTTTGCAGTTAGATAGACAGCAGTATCCTGTTTCTGTTTCGAATTGGTGCTGGTTTTGTAGCTGGTCCAATTTTTGCAAATTTTGCATCGATCTAATCCTGATGATGCATATCACTAACGATGCGACGACGCTCTGCACTTGCATATGGCATTGTGATTGGCTTTTTAGATCTATTGACGATGCAATCCGAGTCAGACCGATCAAAACAGTGCTATTTACGTGGCAAGCAGAAAATAGAAGACGAAGAATTTATCTGCTTTGATTCCTTTTGGATTAAATTAGGTTTAAACTAAATGCATTTTAATAGTCTATTAGTAGGTTTCCGAACAGATTATAGTAGGATAAAGTAGTTAAGCAAACACGAAATAATACGTTAGGCGATTCTACTTCAATTTTACAATTTTAGAGGCCATCAGCACAGTCCTTAAAAATTTTGCAGCTCTTACACGAATGTTTATGACGTTTTTAAAATCGGGGGCTATTTTATAATTACGAGCCCGAAGAGTGAAGCTAGTAGTGACTGTGTGCAAGTTGAATGCAAAACTCTCGAAACATCTATTCTGTCCGTTTGCGCCTGAACAACGCAAGGTGGACCTTTCGCGTCGCATCAAGTGCGATGTGGCTTGTCATCTTCGTGTCCATTAGTAAAGCTATATATAACGTACACTTTGTTTGAGGTGCGAGAAAGAATTTCTTTGTTTAGTTAAAGTCTTTACCTAAGGCAATGTGTACCTTACACGTCGTACTGATTGCAGAATAGCATTTTTCTCTATGGTTGGTAAGTAGCGCTAGATGTACGTCAAACGTCGTCAATAATTGCGATGTATCATTCATCCTCTCCTCATAGGGTAAAGCGCATCACTGTTGCCACTCTCTGGTCAAATTACTCATAGCGACTGCGAAGTGTAACATTCGTCATCGCACCGATGCTCACGCGTAATCAGATCATAAGTGATTAAGAAAGAATGGATAGATTACAAGCAAATTCTAGGCACCAGAGTTCCAAATTAGAGAAGACCGCACCCATCATAGGCTAAAAAATAACTGTGGGTGGGGCAGAGCCTACCAAGCCCACCCTAATTCTTTTGCAAAGTGTCTTTATATAGTTATACTGTATAAATGAGCCCCTTGCACCAGAATAAAAAAAGGGGGCACGTTTGCCGACCAGGTTTCTGCTATCCCCCTACCACCCCTATATATTACTCTTGTTTACACAATGACTGGATACTTCGTCCGAAGGTTCTCGATGATAATATAAATTGCAAAAATATAAGATAAAGCTGTTAGTGACTGTGTGCAAGGTATACGTCGAGCTTAAAGCTTATTTTCTGTCTGTCCGTGATTTCATCTTGTGGCTGTAAATAAAGGTAGGTGTAATTTACGCGCCGTACGAAGTTAAATATGGCCTGTCATACATATTCTGATAGGTGGATATGCACATAGGTGGTGCTTTTTAAA